GTCCTCGTGTTTTATTGTATTTTTTTAAACCTTGCACTTTGCACTTGTGCTGATATACATACCACAGCTGATGTTTACTTGAATTTAACTTTTACATTTGGTTCCTCTTTTGTCACTGACTTTCAGTTTTTACCAGAATGTCAGCAGACTCCATCACTTCCAAGGAGACGCAGCACGATCCCGGCTCTGATGTCCCCTCAGCATCGATGCATTCCTACCAAGGAGAGCAGCCTCCAGCCTACTCTGAAGCCCCACCAGTGTACAAACCACCTCAAATCTCTCGTTATGAGTCTTTCCATGACATAAACCCACAGATATCATCAGAAACGACTCCGCTGGTGTCCTCATCTTCCTTTGATGACGAGATAGTGAGGAAAGGGTTTATTAGAAAGGTTTGTACGCTACGTTTTGGACGATAACTCTAAGAATCCACCATAAATGTTGAAAATCTTTCTGAGACATGTGCGCCAAGTACTCTTTGTATTTGCTGCAACACAACAACACAAAACTGCTTTCTTTTGTTGTTGTTATGATCAGTCATTTTAACTCCATTTAGCTATAAAATAAGTAATATTATGCATATTAAAAAAATCTGACTAAATGAAATGAGTAAGTAAACTTTCTTGCCCCTGAAAAATGACATATTATTCTATATTCTGAAACTGAAAATAACACAAAAGCTCATAAAAATAAAGCAATTTTTAAAACTAAAAACTAGACTGAAACAATAAAAGAGGAAAAGAATCAAAAAGGAACTAAAACATACAAAACTTAAGTAACCCTGAATTTCACAGCCAGTTACAGGAAGCCGTAATGGCACGTCAACATAGCAGCCAGATGTTTTGGTCGGGTCTTTCACACAACAGCCACTTGGAGTGGGAGAAGTTGGGTGTTTCAAATCCTGTTTACTTTTAGGGAGCTGTTTATTTTATGAACTGGTAATTGCAGCACGTGGTATTCACATGTTACAGTTGGCAAAATCAGGAACTATTTTGTGCCTGTATGCTGAAGATTAAGGAGACTGTTTCTCTCACTTTCTTCCTGAGCACAAATAAGTTGATTTGAGAAAAGAGAGAAGTCAAACTTATTTTCAAGGACCACACAAGCATCCTTGAATTTCCACGCTCTCCCTGAGCCTGCAAGGGTCCTTACCGGGTACTCCAGCTTTCTCCACAGTCCAGAGACCCACACTTTGGTTAACTGTTGATATTAAACTGGCCAAATGTGATCGGCTGCCACTCTGTTAGGATGGCCACAGAGTAACAACCTCTCCAGGTTGTATCCTGCCTCTCACCCTATGACAGCTGGGATAGGCTCCAGCTGCTAAGTGACCCTGAACTGGATAAGTTGAGGAAAATGAATAGATGATCTACATACAACCCAATTTGAGTGGGACTAGCCAGTAAAGAAATTGTATAACAACCCATCTTTATTTTAATATAGAGAACTAAAAGTATGTTTTAAAAACAATAACATTTAATGAACCCTGCTTTTGCACATGATACACCTTAAAAAAGTGCAATTTCAACAGTATATCTGATTTATTGTACATTATAATTCACAGCGACTGTTGAAAAGCACAAACTCTTCACATTTACAGGTTTCATGCACTAAACATTGATAGTATTTTACTCTGTGATTGAAATAACGTCTCGAGATCTAAAAATACTCAATATTTAATATTCTTTGACTCCAGTGTGATGAAGTTGGTGTTACCTCACCAGGTACTGTATGCATTTTACTGAAAAATCAAAGATTTCTTTGGGCCATCCTGGGGGCTGGTCTGGGGTCTTTGGTGAGCCAGCTCTGGCTCCTGAACTGCATGTTTGACACCATGTTTATAATATTTCAAAGCAGCCTCTGACTAAGGAAACAGCTGACATTGTTGGACTAGTTCTTCTTTGTTAATGTGAGAAAAACATTTGCAGTTTTCTCTTACAGTGTAGTTACTTAGTAATAAAGTTGTAATTTAAAAAACAAAACTCAGCCTTTTCTCTTTTCCTGCACAGGTTTTTAGCATCGTGACGCTCCAGCTACTGTTCACCTTCACTGTAGTGTGCGTGTTCACCTTCTCCAGCGTGGTCAAAGAGGCAGTGCAATCAAACATTTGGGTCTATCTCAGTTCCTTCATCGTCTTCGTTGTGGTCGCCATCGCCCTCACTTGCTGCAAGTCCTTCAGCCACCATCACCCGTGGAACATTGTGGCACTGGTGGGTCACAAATAACAAAACCATGCACCAAATGGATATGAAACACGGCACAGTCACATTTTGGAAAGAGAAGTGAAATACTTTGGTCATGCAGTCAGGATGGCACCTCAGCTTGTGAACCACTTAACTAAAAACTAGAAGTTAAAGTATAAGTGCTAAGTGCTCAGCAATAACTTAAAAAAAAAAAAAAAGGAAATAAAGGTCAGAATAAGAACAACAGCAACAACAAAAAATCACTGATGACTTTTGTCAAAGATTTAGACTTCCACAAACAGATGGTAAATGTTCTGGCACTTATGTAGCACTTGTCTAATCTAACTGAGCACTCAAAGCTCTAAATGACTTGTGAAAAGTTGCAAAACAAAACCTCTAAAGTTTTCTCTAAAGGGCAGCAGATTCACTGAGTGATTTCAGGTTTGGTTGGCGTGTTAATTTAGGACAGGCTCTTCCTGTTCCTGTTGTTGTTAAAACTGCACGTACAGCAGAGCAAAACACAAGCAGAAGCTCACTGCTGCACCTTTTCTTTTAAAAGCACTCATTAAATGCATTCATGTCTGAATGCATGGCAAGTGTATGAATGAGTGTGTGTATAAGAGAAAAAGAAAAAGCCTTAAACCAAACCTGCTCAGGTGTTCTGCTTTCTTATCTAGGTCACCTCAACCCAGCAATTCCTGGAAGAGACTGGCAAACACAACAAACTAGAAAAGCAGAGGCCAAAAGGCCACGTTGCCCGAATATAAAAGTTTGTTTTTTCAATGTCGGAAACAAGCATCCATACCTGAAGACCACGTTCACACAATTTCTATCTGGCCTTGCTTCTTGCACATGTTCTGTTCTGTTTTCATTATTTGACATGTTCTTATTTTTTGTTTTGAGTGAAAATAAGTGGAAAATGTGTTTCACGTGTTCTGGAGATGTTTAATGCACTTAATTTTCTACCTCCAGTTTGTTGTCACCGTGAGCATGTCATACATGACGGGGACCATCGCCTCCTTTCACAACACCACTGCTGTGATCCTCGCTATGGGAGTAACGCTGGCCATTTCTATCTCAATCATCGCTTTTTCAGCGCAGGTGAGACCGTCAGGCTGTGCAGAAGCGCTGCGTTTGAAAAGCTTTCTTCTTCTTCTTCACAAAAGCAGAGTGCAGATTTCTCAGCTGACTTTGAAGTCAAAACTCTGAAAAGTTTCTGTAAAGAAAATCCACAGCACATCAGAATAACACAAAATGCACGCAGTGAAAAATGTAACGTGAAACGGAAGCTGATTGGTCATAGATGATTTTAATAGACTGATATTTGTAAGACTGATATCAATATTTGGTTATTCAAAAATCGAATATTCTGATATTTCATTTTTTTTCTTTGAGACACATGAAACATAAATAGATTCCCCTAACATTCATGATCTGTAGTTATTTATTTACTGCTTTACGTTCTGCCCGACTCTGCTTGGTTGTTTTGTTTGTGGCGTTTCCAACATGTGTTGCCAGCAGGGAAGTTGCAGGTTGCCCTCTGGTGGACAAACTATGCAACTTCACCACTCATACCATGGTTGAAAGATTCCATTATTATATATATATTTTTTAAATTTTCATTTATAAATACCGATACTGATCAGCCCAACCAATAATTTTTTTTATTCTCCCCTCTATTTTTTAATGATTAAGCAATCTTTCATTTTAAAGAAAATTATAAATTACTGTTCCCGGCTCCTTCAGTGCAAACATTTGCTAATTTTGCAGGGTTTTTTTTTTATATCACAGTAAATGTAATATTGCTCATATTGTAGATTATTTCTCATCCAAGACATTTAAATACATCAACATAGTCCCTTGGAGAGTATGCAAACACTTTTTCCTTACATTTAAAAGATCTGAAATGCCTTGCTTTATGAGACTCTCATATGCTTCAAGTTTCAAAAGATTAATATTTCACATGTTCATTTCATATGTCACACGGTTACTGTGCACTACAGAAAAAAAATCTAAATAAGATTAGACTCTGATAGATTATTTAATAATGACATTCATGTCTTTATGTCTTTCTGTTATTTGCAGACTCGCTATGATTTTACTTATTGCAACAGTGCTTTGTTGATTCTGGTCGTGGACGTCGCCATGTTTGGGATATTTTGCACATTCTACTACAGCTACATCGCTGAAGTTATCTATGGATGTCTGGGAGCTCTGTTGTTTTCATTGGTGAGAGAAGGAACAAGATCCTGTAAGGTCCACAGGTTTTCGAACGAGGACACTTTTAAAATACAACAAAGAGTTTCAGCTTTAATTCAAGGAGTTTAAATAAATCTGCATTAGCTGTATTTTGTTTAATTTAAAATATAGCGTATTTTAATATAATTTGATCGCATTTTTCTCACACTGGTCTAAATCGCCTCCTCCTCTGCCTCTCTTAGTACCTGGTGATCGACTGTCAGCTGGTGATGGGGAGGATGGCCTACAGTGCAGATCCAGAAGATTACATCAACGCTGCTCTCAGAATCTACCTAGATGTAGTCCTAATTTTCCTCTACATCCTGGGGAGGAGGTGAAACTGCATATACAAAACAAACGGACACTTCAGACTGTGGATTAAAATGTCCTTTATCATTATGTGCTGTATATAATCTCCTCGCATCATGTCACACACAAAAAAAAAAATCAATGTTTGCATAGAATCTTGTCTTTGTCTCAGATTTAAATCCATTAAAAATCAAACAAACAAAAACACCACACTTTATGTTGAGTCATTTATTTTTATTCCCACTCTTCAAAATTTAAAAACCTTCATCCTCGTAACAGATCCAGAAGAATATTTGTGTTACAACAAACACCTACACTAAAACCATCATACCCTTAATAATGATAATGAGACCTTCTACTGATCCAAGGACGTTTAGTAATATACATATACAGGGACAAAAAGTAGTGCAAAAGGTTTTGTGTATCCTCTCCATGTCAAAGAGATACATCTAGTATAACAAACCTCTGTTGAACAACAGCTTTTTCTTATAAATGATACCAGGAAAAAAGAGAAACTGTAGAAAATGCAAGAAACAGTTGAATTCAAAGTTGATGTTATCCCTCAGTTGGTCCCTCATGGTTTCCACAGACACTCATTTATATATGGAGATGCAGAATCTTCAGCAAATCCTGCTGCCAGCATCAGTGATTATTTTGAGTTATTTTAACCCAGCAGTCAATTCTATACAAGATGTCAAAGAAGTGAAAATGCTGGCACTAATCCCAAGATTGGGGGGGAGGAAATCAATTCTATATATGCAAGATTTTCCTTTTTAATATAATTTATTGTATAATGAAACATCCACCAGTCATGCCTGTGATGACGCATCTACAGTTTTTGTCTTGGAAAAAACCCTAAAACAATTCATTATATTATCAAAACAGCTGTAAATGATTTTTCTCAGTTGAGCAATTGCTGCAGCCTTATATGAACGAGTGTTTTCAGGTGTAACATCCAACCCCCACCCATGGCCCGAAATATAGAAGTTAACGCTACATGAAGAATGACTAAAAAAAACCTAAACATTCATCCACATTTCATAAAGGCACACAGTTCCCAAGGCTTCACCACAGTGATGAGTAGTTAAACTTTACACGCAGCAGGTACCTCATGCGAGTCTGTGCAGGATTGTAAACAATAAACTCGTTGTAGAGGAGGGAGTAAGCGTTAGATTTACCCACTCCCGTTTTCACGCCAGGCCCCATCGGCACCGTCACACCGTCCCTGAGAAAGAAATTGAGAAACAATAAAATAAATCCGTGGGATTAACACAAATGACTTTTATTTAAAATTTCTTCTAGGTGATTGTAACAATTTTTTTCCCAAAAAAGGAAAATATTTTGCACTCTTTGGCTTCAATTTCTTTTTTTTTCTTCTGGTATTTTTTAGGATCTTTGGGGATCCATCCTCTTAACTCCTTCTCCAGTTCAGAATCATGGGAAAGCTCAATCGCATCCCAGATATCTTGGAGCGAGAGGCAAAGGCCAACACAAGACAGACAACCACTCACATTCTTATTTATCGCTAATTTAGAATTACCAGTTAACCTAACAAGCCGAGGAAGCGCACATAGGGAGAGCATGCAGACTTCAGCTGGCCAGGAGATTCACACCCAGAACCTTCTCGCTGTGAAACAACAGTGCTAACCACTGCACCACTATGCCATCCATCTTTGTGGATGTTTTGCAAATCACTTAAACTGTAGTCAAACAGTGTGCAGCAGTATACTACAATTAATTTGCAAATAGAATAAGCTCCATTATCAAATCTTGGGCTTGTATTGGACAAATGCAGGGCTGCTGTTGTTATGCAAGTGATAAAGATATATTCCAAACCTCCTGCTAATTTTAACAGAATTAGGTACATCATGTGAAGATTAAAGAGCATTTTAAGGCATTAAAAAAACTGCAGTGAAAAGTCATAAACTAATTTCTTCAGCTTCAGGTAACTTACTAACAGGACAGGTGCAGTTTGTTAATACCAGTCTAAGAGAATATAATTACTGCTCATGGCATGTAGGTTAAATGTAGGCCTAAGGTGAGACTTGTCACTATATATAATGACAGAGT